TCAACACAAATGCTCAAATGTCTGACCTGGCCACACCGCCTAGCCTTAAGCATCTACAGTTCAATGCTAACTGCCTACTCGGCATGCTTGACCAGCTCATCGCAGTCATGCGTTCGCACAGCATAGCTGTAGTGGAGATGCAAGAGACGAAGTGGACGAACTCAACTAAGGTCCCTTCCTGTGCCGACTACACGATCGGCTGTCGCGACCGCGGTTTGGCCTTCCTGGTGGATAAATCCATTGCCCATCATCAGCTAACCCTGGTTGGTGCCGGAAGTATTGGCAATTTCCTTCAACATTGGCCCGGCGCTGCTTACCGTCGCGAATGTCTACATCCCTCCAACATCCAGTTGTCCTCCCGGCTTCACTGCCTCCATCGCTCACTACTTACCTTTCTGAGACAGTTTGATGCTAGGCGACTTCAACGCCCACCACGACCTGTGGTGCTCTAACTTGCAAGGCCGATCCCCGGGGAGAAGCCCTGGCCGATGAATTAGAACACACTACCCTTCGCAGTCCTCGATGAGAAAAGCCCAACGCGGCTTCCGCCAGTGGTGCCCCCAGCTCGACCGATGTTTCCCTCGCCAGTCTCAGCCTGGTAGCCTCCACCATGTGGAGCACGGAAATCAGCCTGGGTAGCGATCATCTCCCCATAGTGCTCGAATTAGCCACCACCGACCATATCAAGGCTCCAAACAGGCACTTTACCAACTTGAAGCGAGCCGATTGGGCAGCGAAAGGAAGTGGGAGGAAGAAGATAACTAGGCCGCTGGGACAATATGTTTATTCGCCTGACGTTTCGAAATCCGCCGCGGATTAATCATCAGAGATATACTCACAAAACAGTAGTAGAAATAGTTTGTGTGTGCACAGGGTTTTGCCGCAAAATTTAAACCTACAGAAAAAACGATAACTGCCTCAAGTGTGCGCTGATTCGTTGCGTCAGCAATGACCATATGGCCCTGCGGTGTTGGCATAGGATGATGTGGTGGCCTGCCTGTTCCCCGAGCGGCGACATGCTTTGGCCAAATTGAGTCTCAGCGCCGAATATGGTTTGGGCAAATCGTTGCACTTGCTTATGGATTGGGGGCCCGTGAACCATGACTCAAGTACTTCTCGGCTCACTCGATTGTCACCTCTTGCGAGAATTTCGGCCCCATCAAATTTGAATGTGTGTCCGATTCTCATCGAATGAGCCGCAACCTGAGAATCGACATCATTTCACCGCACTTCCGCTGCATATTCGGCAATTCGTGTCTTCAGATATCTGCCAGT